AAGAGCCCAACTAAAACACACACTGATCTCCATAATGGTGACTTAAACATTCCGTTTTCTCCTTCAGAGATTCTGCTTGTTAACATCAGGTGTCTTCAATAATGCTCAATCATCACTGAGTTATTCACTTAATTAACTCATTAGCTCAGAGTTTAATTGGGTTGCTTAAAATGTCCAAATTCCATGATGTTGAAGTTACATGAACATATTATGTTTGTTAAACGAAACATAGTTATGTGGAACCGGTGGAACCTGTTTACATAAAAAAAGTTAAGTAAAGCCAACGTATAATTTTTTTGAGTGTAGCCGCATGCTAAAACATGTTCACCACATGTTTAACCATGCTAGCAATATGCTAAAACAACTTAAATCAAAACGAAGCAAGCTAACAACTTAAAAAAAATTGAACATTTGAAAAAAAACATGGTAGCTTGCATGTTAAATCATGGTAGCAACTGGTTAAAAACATGCTAGTAACAAACTAAAACTGGCTGGAAACATGCTAGCAACAATATAGCCAAATGCTAAACATGTTAACAATGTGCTAAATCATGTCAGCAACATGGAAATGTGGCTAAATCATGCTAGAATTGTTCAAATATGTTAAAATGTTAACAGTGTGTTAAAACACGTTAGCAACACTTTATTTACTTTATATCTGTCTGCTTTATCTGACTTCCCATTTTTCAGTCATTTTCAGACACAGTTTTGTCTAACCAACATCAAAGATTCAAACTTTACACATATAGTTCGGGGTTGTGGCCTTCCAGAACAGCAGATTTGAGTTACCTTTTTGTTGTTGTTGTTGTTCTGAATACTGACACCAAATAATGGAATAAGCTACAATACATGCTCTCCTCGCACTGAGACATTCACTCCATTTCTCTATTTGTGGTTTTCCACTGAGTCCACTCTCAGTGAAAATGAATAGCTGATAAAGTGATAGATGACCATGGAGTAGAGGTCAAGTGCACAATCAATTTGCGTTTTGATGTGCTGGACGGCAACTTCAGCCACTTTATTTTCCCTATCTTTCTGAAATGAAATGGTTTCAACCATAAATTTTATGTAACAATTTTTGACATTAATACATTTTATGTGTTGTATATCTTGTGATGTTTCTAGTCCCCGACTTTCTAACCAAAATAAACTTTAAGTCTCTAACCATGAACTACAAATATATTTTATATCATCATTAACACCACATTAACCCAAAACATAACCTTAACCCTATAGTTGTTACATGTGTGTCCTGAGTTTCCCCCCGTCTCTGTGTATTTGGTTTAATCCTGTGTCACTTTTCCCGCTCCTCGTTAGTTCTCAGTTCCTTCACCTGTCTACCTGTCATTATCAGTTCATTTGCCCCAGCTGTGTCTTGTTCTCATTATCCGTTCTAAGTGTATTTATACCCTGTGTTCTCCCTCACTCCTGGTCGGTTCTCGTTTATGTAACGTTGGTATTAGGTGTGTTTGTATCCTCTGCCCGTCTGCTCCTGTTTATTGTTTTGATTTATTAAGTAAAGTATATTGTTTTTGGAAATCCTGTTCTCCTCGTCTTCCTCTGCCTACACCAACCGTAACAGAAGAACCGACCAAAAGACAAGCGTGATGGCTGAAGACAGACTCTTCAACTTGCAGCAGAATGGCCGTTCGTTGGAGAGGTATGTAGAGGAGTTCCTGGAGGTTTCCCATCTAGTGAACTGGGGTGATTCCACTATTAACGGCTGCTTCCGGTTGGGACTGGACGATGATAATTTATTCCATTTCATCTCCGTGGAGAATTGTTATAAATCCGTCCCGGACTTTATTAATTATGTCCTAGAATTACATGGTTCTGATTTCCTCGTTGACTATGCAGAAGATAGTCAAAATCATCGTTCAGTTCCTATCCGGAAGTATGTAGGCGCCCCAGTTCACCTCGATCCGGAACCCTCTGCATACCTCTCCAAGAACTCCGTGTCCCTTACTTCACCCAAGATGACCGAGTCTTCACTGCTGGTCCCGTCTAGCACAGATCCCGAATCAGAGCTTCCGCCACTGGTCCTGTCCAGCCCAGCCAAGCCTTCACCGCTGGTTCCGTCCGGCCCAGCCAAGCCTGCACCACTGGTTCTGTCCAGCCCAGCCAAGCCTGCACCACTGGTTCTGTCCAGCCCAGCCAAGCCCTCACCGCTGGTTCCGTCCAGCCCAGCCAAGCCTGCACAGCAGCTTCACGTCGCCTGCCCGCCAGCGCCCCACTGCAGCCCTGCCGAGCCTGAGCTTCCCCGCAGCACTGCCGAGCCTGAGCTTCCCCGCAGCCCTGCCCTGCCGAGCCTGAGCTTCCCCGCAGCCCTGCCGAGCCTGAGCTTCCCCGCAGCCCTGCCGAGCCTGAGCTTCCCCGCACGCCTGCCGAGCCAGAGCTTCCCCGCACGCCTGCCGAGCCAGAGCTTCCCCGCACGCCTGCCGAGCCAGAGCTTCCCCGCACGCCTGCCGAGCCAGAGCTTCCCCGCACGCCTGCCGAGCCAGAGCTTCCCCGCACGCCTGCCGAGCCAGAGCTTCCCCGCACGCCTGCCGAGCCAGAGCTTCCCCGCACGCCTGCCGAGCCAGAGCTTCCCCGCACGCCTGCCGAGCCAGAGCTTCCCCGCACGCCTGCCGAGCCAGAGCTTCCCCGCACGCCTGCCGAGCCAGAGCTTCCCCGCACGCCTGCCGAGCCAAAGCTTCCCCGCACGCCTGCCGAGCCAGAGCTTCCCCGCACGCCTGCCGAGCCAGAGCTTCATGTCACGCCTGCCGAGCCAGAGCCTTCTCCGCTGGTCCCGTCCAGTCCTCCCGAGCCTTCTCAGCTGGTCCCGTCCAGTCCTCCCGAGCCTTCTCCGCTGGTCCCGTCCAGTCCTCCCGTGCCTTCTCCGCTGGTCCCGTCCAGTTTTCCCAAGCCTGTCTCTGAACCCGTCACTCCCCCCAAGAAAATTTTGGGGGGGGGATATAGGCCACCTGAAGAGACGTCTCCGCCCTGGCCACCGGAAGGGGCGTCTCCACCCTGGCCACCTGAAGTGGCCTCTCCACCATGGCCTCCCGAAGTGGCCTCTCCACCCTGGCCACCTGAAGTGACCTCTCCACCCTGGCCACCTGAAGTGGCCTCTCCACCCTGGCCTCCCGAAGTGGCCTCTCCGCCATGGCCGCCCGAAGGGGATTCTCCGCCATGGCCGCCCGAGGGGTCGTCTCCACCATGGCCGCCTTCCCAGCCTGCTCCACCCTGGAGGCTTCCTGCTCTGGGTAGGCCACGCCCTCGTCAGCCTCCAGGGCGCCCGCCCCCCCACCCCTATTGAAGTTATACGGCGCGAGGACGCGCCTTTTTGGAGGGGGTGTTATGTTACATGTGTGTCCTGAGTTTCCCCCCGTCTCTGTGTATTTGGTTTAATCCTGTGTCACTTTTCCCGCTCCTCGTTAGTTCTCAGTTCCTTCACCTGTCTACCTGTCATTATCAGTTCATTTGCCCCAGCTGTGTCTTGTTCTCATTATCCGTTCTAAGTGTATTTATACCCTGTGTTCTCCCTCACTCCTGGTCGGTTCTCGTTTATGTAACGTTGGTATTAGGTGTGTTTGTATCCTCTGCCCGTCTGCTCCTGTTTATTGTTTTGATTTATTAAGTAAAGTATATTGTTTTTGGAAATCCTGTTCTCCTCGTCTTCCTCTGCCTACACCAACCGTAAAAATAGTAAGTATATGTAGTTAAATATGACCCATTACTGTAATTACACTTTACCTTAAACTTACTGTAATTACAACATCACCTTATAATAATGTGTAACAAAAACACGCTCTGTCATAATAAATGGTATTTTTATTAATATTTAGAATTTAATTTGGTATGTGTACCAGAAATATTGTTGTATTTTATCTAGTTTTTAGTTATTATTTGGGCTTCCTTAAAAGTATTAAATAGTTTACTGGGGGAAAAAATGTAGTTGTTAAGGAACCAAGATCATTAATTGGAATCAATTCTGAGGCAAAATAATTACATTTCCTATACACACATGATAAACACAGACAGTTGGTAATCCATATCAATTAATAGCAGAATGCAGATTCAACCAAGACTGTTAAAGGATGTTAAATGACTCAATAGGGCACATCGAAAGTGCACCAACCAAACGGAAATGGAATGTTGAGAAAGCGAACGCGAAGACAAATAGACAAAGAGACCATAATTAAAAACTAGCACATGGGAAATGTGTGCAACCAGCCATTGCAATCAGTTTCACAAGCACCTGCAATTATCATATACTTTTACCAGTCAAACTCATAAGCAGCATTCTTCATCTACAGTAAACAGCTTTGTCATTGTCACAGTCAAACTCTTTACCGAACACCATTTCTCTCTGACAGAATTGAGAGTGTGTATCTGGGTTGTATCTCACAGTGAGATTGATTTAATTTGATATACAGTTGTTGTTGTTTTTTTTTTTAATTCAGGCTCGGCTCCAGGACAGAAAATGAAAATAATAAGTCTGTATCGGCTTATTTGTAACAGATTCTCTTAAAAGGAAATGGTACAAACATTACTGTTTATAATCTTCATAATAAATGTTCCTATTCAGGCGAGACTAGATTTTCCTGAGGAGGCAAGGTAAATTTGTGTTTTGCAGATGTATTTTCTGATTTTAATACTATCCAAATCAAACACGGCTGTGTTTTTCTTATACAACCTCTATAAAAAATGTAATTCCCTACTCTTTTTCTCTAACTCTGAGATCTAATCCAGTTCAGATAGGAACATCTGTGATTGGTTTATAATTTTCTTTTAGCACTTCTCATTTATTTTGACCTTCATCATCTACAGCTAAACTTCTGGTTTGAAATCCCAGTTCCGTTCAAATCAATACATGATCCTCTGTTAATAATCAAAACTCAAATGTCACTTCGAAAACAAATCCCATCCGAATAGTGCTAATGAAGTCATCGTTTTACGAGGAAACCTCATTATAGAGACTTTAATTGAGCTTGTTTGGACAGTGTGTGACAGCTCACCCTCTTCTGCTCTCTGTACTGACCGCGCAGGCGCTCCTCGAGTCTTCGTGCAGCTACAGCCCACTGTGCAGACAGTCTGCGCATACGCCGCCTCATGAAGCTTAAGGATTCTTTGCCTGAGCCGACTCGTTCCAACAGTAGAGACAGGTCGGAGCGGAAAAATGCCTGTGGAAAGATCAAAATTGAGTGTGTGCAAAGAAGTGTACAGACGTAATGTATGTCCATACACAAGTACTTGTTATTTTATAGACATTAATCAAAACACAATTATACAGCACTTTAGAAGCACACTTTAGCATACTTTTAAATTAATACTTATTACTGAAGTAATATACTTTAAATGAAAGGGCTTAAGGGTGAACTGAATGTAATATTTATATAATATTATGACACTCATTTGCATTTTAATTGCAATTAAATGAAAATGTATTATTGTTTAAATTTACAATAAATGCTGAACTTTTTACAGACTTAAGTACATCTTTATATGATTTCATAATTACTTCAACTGTCTTTGAAATATGATTAAAGTGTACAGATGAATGCTGACAAGCTTTTATGACAAACTAAAATATACCTTGTCGTTTCTTTTGAAACTTAAATGCCGTGTATTTTAAAATATATTTGTAATTACACATTTGTAATGGAGCTAATATTTAGTACAATTATATTAACTTTAAATGTACTAAATTACACACTACAGTCACATGTGCTTTAGTATGTTAGTCAAGACATCAAAATAAGTGTACTTTAAGGAACAACAAATTATTAATAAAACATCATTATTTAAATTGTACTTCACGGTAAAACTTTTAATTTGAAATGACATAGTGCACTTTTAAAAGTTTACTTAAAGAACCCCATAAATCCAAATTTAATCTTTTTAGCTTTTAGTATGAATCTGTTAGGCTTAAGCAGTGTTGGGGAAAGTTACTTTTAAAAGTACAATATTGCGTTACTCACCAAAAAAGTAACTAATTGCGTTACTTAGTTACTTTTTATGAAAGGCAATGTGCTACAATACCTTTGTATTACTTTTTCTCACCTTGGCAGGGCTTGCTTGTTTTTTTTTTTAATAACAACAAAAAAAGTTATATTTTTTGGGAAATGTAAAGGCCCTTTCACACCAAAAGTGAAATGAATAAGCCTCAGGCTGAAGGAAATATATATTTACGTCTGTACAGCAAACAAACCTTTCAGCTGCTATTCTAGATTAAAGAACAATAGGATACAGGAGAAGAAAGTTCAACACTCTTATTTCTAAATAATCTTAAGTCATTTTTGCTTATTAGTACGGTTGAATTAGATCATTGAAGGTCAGCAGCAAAGACATTGGTAAATAAAGTGAGATAAGTATATTTGTGTTATTTAATATAGTTAATTAAAAAGTTTTGCAAATTAGATATTTTGTTGTAAATTGAAAAAGTAATGCGTTACTTTACTAGTTACCTGAAAAAGTAATCTGATTACGTAACTCAAGTTACTTGTAATGAGTTACCCCCAACACTGGCCTTAAGGTTATGAATAAGCTGATGTGTTTTCAAAAACACACCGCTTTTAGGAGATATAAACATTCAAAAATTACAGTCTCAAATGTATCACAAATGTTTATGACGTCACCGCGGACTTCAACTTCTCATTACATCTTCTGTCCAATCAAATGCTCTCTAGAATCTAAAGCTCCGCCCCTTATGCTATAAATACCACCTGGCCAAAGCGACCGTTGATACGTCACGAGCAATATGGGTTGGAGGTGTGTGTTCGGTTTCTCAAACACCCCAGTTTTATTCCGTTTTCCAACTGTACGTTGGTTAAGAGTGAAATGGCTAGAATTTATTCACACCTCTACTATTGAATCCAGCGTATCATCAGCGCTCGGTTTCGCTTCCATGTTGCTGTCGAGTACGACTTGCAGTCTGAGAGGTAAACTAAACGCTATTGGCTATTTGAAAAGGGGGAGGAGCCATTCAATATGTCCCGCCTTTACATCCTGTTTCAGTGGAAAATTACGTAAATACATCAAACTAAGCTGTGCGTTTCAAGGCACTTCAATGGGCCTTTCATAAGAAACAGTCATGAAAGTGTACTATCTTTAAGTACACTTAAGTGGCCTGTTATGTCGTTAATATTGTTTATGTACAAGTACAGCTTTATATTTGAAGAACACTACAAATGCACAAACAATAAAATTATGCACACTTTATTTTACTAGTGTATACAGTAATATGCAGTTCTTCTCTTGGAAATTTACTATACTTACTAAACGACTCAAACAAACTCTGAATATCTTTCAAAGATTTGATGACACTAACCTGGAAAATCCAGTGATTAGGCATCAAAAGCTCAAAAGCAGTCAACCCAATGCTTAAACACAACACAGATTAATGGCGTGCGAGTGGTCATGCTGCATGAGGCCGAGGTTAAGCAGGATTTTACAAATGAAAGAACTGTCATTTTAAAATGCCAGATAGTGGCATAAGAGTTCAGGCGTATGCTGGTTAAAGCTGTGTGGAATATAAAGAGGTAATTATGCTAGACAGGAAAAATGCCACCGTATTTTAAGCTCTAGGGGAAAGAGAACTTGAAAAAAAAAAAATATCTAATTTCAGTCTTAGCAGGGTTCAATGATGTTGTGAATAAGTGTCAAACAGCTGGAATTCTTTCACTTGAAATGACACTGTGAGAGTTTCTAACCAGGTGAGATCTGCACGCTGCACACACAGCATAAAACCCACCAAGCTTCCTTGCTTTCTACAGCCTAGTAAGCCATCTAACTGAAATGAAACCTCATAAATGACTGATTTAGAACGCTGCATAGGTAGCAACTTGTGCGTCATACAAGCAAACACATGGGGAATGCGGGGGACTCAACACACACAATGGAGAAAAGAGCTTCATGGTAGCATACTGCTAATTCAGCAATGTGCCACTTCAGCCTCCAAAAAATAAATAAACAATGCATGGCTATTTTGATTTTGATTGAACTTGTCAGTTACATTTATTTTACAGTACGTTCACTTGTGTGTACTTGCGGTGTACTTACCTAGGAAAGTACTGGTGATGTAAGGTAACTAGTTAAGGTTAGGTTCAGGGTTATTACCCAGTTATTGTAATTGCTATAATAAGAACATAGTATTCACATGGGGGGCAGGGCTGTAAAATAAAGTGCCACCCAACATATTATTACAATATAAAATAACTGTTTTCTATTTGAATACGTTTTAAAATGTAATTTATTCCTGTGATCCAGAGCTGAATTTTCAGCATCATTAAGGTGCGTTCACGCCATGTCGTAATTACCGCAATTACATGATTTCAACTTGTGAAAAGCATTCACGTCGTAATTACAGCTTGTAAGATGGGGATTGTTTGAGAGCTCGACTTGAACCACCTGACCGCTGCAGATTCATTTATTCGTTGATAGTGGTGCCATAGAAACGCACAATTCCCAGTCTGAGGATGTGAACAGTTTCGAATATAATGCATCTCCAGTCTACGGTAATTACGACGGCGTGAATGCAGCATTACTCCAGTCTTATGTTATTAAATTTTGGTTATTATCAATGTTGAAAACAGTGCCGCTTCATATTTTTTTGGAAACCACGAACATACATCTTTACTGTCACTTTTAATAAATAATTAATTTCTTTAATAATAAAAAAAAAACTCTTTCTGACTTCAAACTTTTGAACAGTAGTGTATTTAGAACTGATATTTCTTTTGCTTCATCCATCTTATTTTTCTGTATTTTGTATTTTCTGGATAAAAGATACCTGCAATGGTACATAGGCAACTCATTAGGTTAAAGAAAATAGCCTTTATAAACTTCAGATTAGCCACAATATCTCCTCACAAACCTCTAACCTTCTCTGTGTCAGTGAACTCAGTGTTGTAATTATTGGCTGTTTCAGCACTCACCTGTCTTTTTGGGAGGCTGCTGGTTGTGGGGTGGCTGCTTTGATTCCTCCCGGCCAGCGGGGGGCAGAACCACTCGACTTCACTAAGGTAGATGAGGAAAGAGCAGTCGGAGCCGTCTACTCCATAAAAGGTGTAGCAAGGGTCTGATGTCCACCTGGCTCTCATCCACTTGAACATTAAGAGATGAATAACAGTTAAATGTAGGTTGGCATTATTTTAACATTTCACATTGAGAGGACAGAGGTGTGATAACCCAAACCAAGCATGACTGGACCCATCAAATGATTCGTTTTCATGAATAACTCAGGTTTGTAATTACATTTACATTGTATATTGCAGACACTTTTAGCCAAAGCGACTTAGAGGGCATTCAAATTGTATATTTTACCAGTACTGGCATTCTCTGCATGGGGATCTTGGCATTGTTTCAGGAACTGGAACTGTGGAACTGGAACTGAGTCTTCATCTTAATGCCTCTGCTAACCTTTACAAGAGCACATAAACTGAAATGTGTGCTTTTTATTTCAAACGTATACACTTTGCTGGAAAAGATTGGTTTGATTTGGCTGCTTTCAGGATTCTTTTTGGAATGGGAGTGTTGAACAAACATTTAACCTCAAAGAAACTATCATCCATACAACAGCCACGTCACATGGGTGATGGTGTCATACTTCAGACATGAGTGACACATTGAACACAATTCTAACGGCCCTTTCACACCACATTTAAGGTAAAGAAAAGTTAAACGAATCAGTGGCAAATTGTCTATCCACACCAAAAACAGAACAAATATCCATATGGCTGAATGAAAGGGAAATACATATTGGTACACAAGATGATGCATGTGTCTTTTAGCCGCTCAGCCGTGTGAATATCAGAAGCACGGGATGCAGGAGAAGCAAATTCAAGACCCTAATTTAAGCAACAAAAAAAACAACAACAACCTAAAACAGACATAACGTAACAAAAGTCGCGTTTTTGCATGGTGGAATTCACCCAAAAATGGAAATTCTGTCATTACTTACTCACCCTCATGTCGTTTCAAACCCGTAAGGCCTCGTTAAAGTGAAGACATCGTTAAAATAGTCCATGTGACTACAGTGGTTAATGTCATGAAGCGACGAGAATACTTTTTGTGCGCAAAAAACAATAACAAAAACAACGACTTTATACAACAATCTCTTCTCTTCTATTCGCGTAGTAAACACAGTGCAGTGCTTCCATGTTTTACGTCAGAAAGCTGGCTCACTATTGGCCAGATCCAGTGTCAGCATCACACGCAAGTGTCGTGTGCTCACGTGACCAGCGTCGGCCAATAATAAGTCGGCGTTTTGCTGTAGAACCTGGAAGATCTGCACTGTGTTTACCATCAACAGCGTAGGAGTCTGACACAGATGAGAAGAAACTGTTGAATAAAGTCGTTATTTTTGTTTTGATTTGCGCACAAAAAGTATTGTCGTCACTTCATAACATTAAGGTTGAACCACTGTAGTCACATGGACTATTTTAACGATGTCTTTACTACCTTTCTGGGTCTTGAAAGTTGCAGTGACATTGCTGCATATGGCTGGTTCAGAAACCTCTCGGATTTCATCAAAAATATCTTCATTTGTGTTCTGAAGATGAACGAAGGTCTTACGGGTTTGGAACGACGTGAGGGTGAGTAATTAATGACAGAAATTTCCTTTTTGGAAGAACTAACACTTTAAATCTTTCCCTGCAACCGTTTGTTTTTTAAAAGTTGCCAGCCAACGGCAGCATTTTTGATCATTTTCAAAAAAATTCATGACCCCAGAATATTTTGTTGTATGGATATCTGAATAGGTAATATATCAAACAAAAGAACTGAGTCTCTAATATATATATATATATATATATATATATTAGTGCTGGGCAACGATTACAATTTTTAATCGCGATTAATCGCATGCTTTTCTTGCGATTAATCGCATTGTTACGCGCAAACTTTAATAATGAATTCTAAAGTAGTCTATTACTCACTTTTGATTTAAATGTACTGCTATATACACAAAAGTGTAATAACATGTGGTTTGCAAAAACTTTAAACAAATAAGGTGCTTTTACCAGCAGTATTCCCTTTACACAGCAATAAAATATGTATTGTAAATCTCAACTTAAACATTAATGTAATCAAATCAAATATTAAAACAAAGCTATTTGCCACTGCCAGGGCATTACCTTTTATCTAGCTTGTTAAAACGAGTCCAGTTTTCTTGGTTTTTTTCTTAACAGGTATCAACAGGTGTCTTTTAGCAGCAGAAACAGTCTATGTAGTCAGAGGTCATGAGATATAAGTCGACCAACGTTACTTCTCTGATAGTAGCTTAGGTTTGGTCATGCCATGGTTTCCCACGTACACTAAGATCGCATTAAACAGAGGTAAAGCCCAATTTATACTTCTGCGTCGAACTTACGTCGTACCCTGACGTGCACCTCTCCAAAAATGTAACGACGCGTCAATTCTACGCGCACCGCAAGCGCTGTGATTGCTAGAACCGCTCCACGGGTTTCACATGCTCCCTCTGCATGTGTAATTGCGCGTCAACGCGGACAACGACGCAGAAGTAAAACCAACCAACGCGTAGTGTATAGCGTAAGTCCGACACAGAAGTATAAATCAGCCTTTTAGAGTGAGATGAATTGGTCGAGAAGGTGCGTTCTGTGAAACTGTTGCGCTCATGCTCGCCTCGCGCTCGCCTCACGCACGCGCCCGCCCGTTGCCGAAGTTGAATTGTCTAAAAGGACTTTGATTGTCTATAACTTTTTGTACACGACGCGCAGTACAAATCATTGGAAGAGAGACTGATCCTCGGCTCGCTGTTTGAGTTCCCAATATTTAAAAGTTATCAGGACATCAACAGAAGGGAATTCACATTACAGAGCATCCCCGCTAAACAAAACGCAGGCACATCAGGTAAAGTTATGTATAATTTTAATTTAAGTTAAAAAGACTACAGCTGCGTTGCGCACAGAAGCCGTTGCTATTGTTACTATCCATAGAGCGCCTGTCATTCACTCGCGGAGCGCTGTCTCCTTTTCTGTTCACCTGAGAGAACCTGCCAAAGCCTCTCTCCACTGCTGGTTTGGGTGGGTTATTTGCTGGCTGACCAACATCCCACCCCTCCTGTGATCCATGGTTTGACTGTAGGCCTATGTCCTATTCAGAGCCAGTGTGCAACGGACTTTCAAAAAAAAAAAAAAAAAAAAAACTGCGTTAACGTGCGATAAAAAAATTGTCGGCATTAATTAATAAATGCGGACGCAATAATAACGTGTTAACTTGCCCAGCCCTAATATATATATTCTAGCTTAATGTGGGTGCATTTCATTAAAAAGCAACATTTTGAACAAAAAGCTGCGGAAATCATGTTGCTTTTTTTCAAAGACTACAACGTGAAAAAGCAATGCTTTTATCACTTGTTTCTGCTTCTTTTTTTTTTGCCTGCCGGAGATTCTGTTCTCTTTCAGAAGATGAGTAATAGCGCCACCTACCGCATAGCAAGCAAGGAAAGCGGGAAAAGAGTTGATAATTGAAGGTCAGCAGCAAAAACATTAGTAAATTAAGTAATAAGTCCATAAACTCTATTTGATGTATTATTTAATTATTACAGATTTCATAGTTAAAAAAATTTGTACATAACTTTGCAACTACATGTCAACTAACTGTCATTAGAGTAGACTGTCTGCTTAATATCTGCTAACTCTTTATTTTTATGCTCCCCACAGACATTCCACTAACTATTAGTACATTTTCAACTACATGTCAACTTATGCTACTAACCCGCACAGTCTATTAACACTCTAATGAGAGTTAGTTGACATGTAGTAGCAAAGTTACTTACATAGAGTGTCTAAAGGGGATTATCGAAATAATGTTTTGAATTGTAATAATATTTCACAATATTACAGATTTTACTTTATTTTTGGTCAAACAACTGCAGCCTTGGTGAACAGACTTCTTTAAAAAAAGTATTTCAAGTCATTGTTATAGGGCAAATACAGAATTCTGCTCATTATAGTTTGTGCTTTAATGCCATGCTCCATGTGAAATATGTCAGATCTGCTGATCTCTCCACGATACAGCATCTCAACCGCACTGTGCAAACTGCGTTCAGCAGCACAGACTGTGGGTGTGTTCGTGCCGTTGCCTGATCTGCATAATTAATTTAGTGGATCGGGGCCTAAAGCAGCGCAGACAGAACATGCTTTCAGCGGGAGCAATTCATTCTTAGTAAATTCCCCCGTGTGCATTACCTACAATACAAATCATTAAAGCCATCATAATTATTTTAACATTTTGACAGCCCTATATTTCATAAAAATCTATTTATTGAAAAGTGGAAAAGATGCAAATGTAATGTGTGGTGAAAGAATGTTGATGCAGGTAGGTGTAAATATACAAGAAGCGGAGAAATATTTATGAGGATGAACCATGTGTCATGCAGGGCAAAAGTGTAAATTCGTGCTGAATATTTTATGTAGGCACCGTGCTTATCAAAGGTTACGCATCTGTTTCATGGAAACTAAAGAGTTCAAGAACTGCAAATATTTTATTTTATAAGTAATGTTCAGGCTTGTACGAAGACAACAGCAGCTAGATGTGCATTTGGCTTCAATGCTGGTTTCAGTGCATTAGTGCCAACAAATGTTCTGATTTGGGATGTTCACCACAAACAATGTGCATTGTTTATTTCAATATTTTTTTTCTTGTGCTGAATATTTGAATTGGTGTGAAAGGACAGAGTGAACTCGCCAAATTTGGCTGATGTGTCCTGTATTCACAATATATTGTTATTATTCTACTAGCAATATAAAATGAACCCTCTGGTGCTCTTCGATTGGTGGTCAGAAATGACAGAATTTTAGTATTTATTTTTTGTCAATGAAATTAATGTACTATATTTTAGTTGATAATGTTTTTATTTAATATTTTGTATTTTTAGGGGATTTTTCTATACTAAATTATATTTACGCTGTATTTATAATCCATTTATTCACTTTTTGAGCATAGACCTGAACATTTCCAACTTAAACTGTGGTAAATATTAATTGCTTTGGAGAACAGACTTAAGTTTGATCTCTTTTCAAAGACGACACTTGGCTGATTATTGCTGAAGTGAAAAAAGTTAAAAACAAAAGTGAACTTAAAAAAAGGAACAGAATTTCACGTGTATTGTTATGAAAACCGAACAAAAATACTATTTACATAGTAAAAACTATTTATAGAAAATCAAAGCCATAAATCGAAACAAGTTGTGTTGCAAATTTGAGCTTGATATATAAAATAAATTAGCTTTCAAAATTCGTCTCACATTAATTTCCAATGCGGTCATTTTTGACTATTTGACTATTTGTGACTATTTTTTTTCCAGGAACATCTAACTTTTTCCAATACTTTTTGTGTGTGTGTGTTCACATAGCAAGTCCCAAAAACCTTTACCAAGTTTCGTACCATTCCAAATGAAGTAAAACATTTTTTTTTTTTTTTTACAAAAAAAACGTAAAATGTCTCGGTCAAGAGGCAATACAGAGAACATTTCAATGTTTAATGATTTGTATGTGCTGTTTTAAAGACCATGAGATTAGATTAGATTAGCTCTCTCTATATATACTGTATATAAAATAATGTAAATGCACTCTAGGTTTCTTGTGGACAAACACTGATAAGGAGACTTGTTCGCATGGTAAATCTTCTCTGATTTTCTAAAATGAGGACAAACTGCACTAGAATAAACAGCATAAGAAGAGAGACATCATCTATAAAACAGCATCATCAATCAATGAAACAGGTGTGAAAACACTCTGCAAGAAATCAATTTGTTGGGTGCCAGTGTTTGCTTCAACCAATCTGTTTCCCTCCAAGGCAACCATGGAAGAAGAAAAAAAAAGACAGACATAAAGGAGTATGAGAGTTTTGAAAAAAAAAAAAAAAAAATCTCTGTCAACTCACATCCACTTTACTGGCGCAATCCGGGTACCCGGGATCCTTCGGGACTTCGCACTGGCCCATAACTCCATCTCGGCCTGTAGATGAAAAGGACAGGCGGTCACAGTCTGATAACACGGTTCCAGAAGCTTCGCTGTGGAACACCAGTGGGATCTGAACGCTCTCGGCTTTAATGAGGCTTTGGGAGAGTCCTCCGTATCTTCTTCCATCTCCTCTACTTCCTTTAAGCTTGCTTTATTAGGTATTATGAAAGTGAACTCTTGGCCTCATATCTCGTACTTGTCGGAGTAAGGCTTGCTCTGGGCTTTGTTAAGAGCTCTGTACTGCTTTCTGTTCACTAGGGTAGAAAATTGCAAACATCCCCCTCTCTCCTTGATTAATAAACTCCCGTATCTCACTGGTAGCCGGTCCCAGTCAGCCTAATTAACTTAGAAAGATGTTGTTCTTTGTAAAACAGGCTACTTCAGATCCATCAAGAAGCATACAGCGAAAGGAATTATGGGCTATTCTGCTTGATTATGAAAAGACAGTAAGCAGCAGCTGAAAAAAATATCCTTGAACCCTTAAATCAAAGGACGTCCACTGGCTCTTCTATTCTGTACCCATGGGACATTAATTTAGGAGATTCACTCCATCGTCCTGCGGTTGATGCTCCTCAAACTTTATAGAGATCCCTATTGAAATCTCTTTGATTGCAGACTCTGACATTTTGGAAACCAACAAAGAAATTGACGAAATCTCTTTTGAAAGAAGACGTGATATTTTAGCAGAAATCTCAATGCCGTCGAGGGGAAACAACTGAAGTATTAAAGTGATCTAATTTATGACTTTACTTTTGTATGGGCATATCTATATACAGTATCTATTAAAAATATACTTTTTAATGTTTTTGAGAGAAGTCAACAAGGCTATATTTATTTGATCAAAAATACACTAAAACGTTAATATTGTGAAATATTATTATAATTATAATAAATACTTAACTAGTTTACTAGAATGTCCAAGAAAATAAAGTGTAACCAAAAATCGTAATTATTCCAAACTTTGGACATGTACATATATTCTGATTGGCTGGGATTGTCACGTTGTGTCACATTTTCACATTCATTGTGAGCAAGCACAGTCACTGATAACTGAGAACACAGCGAGTGTATGACTTTAGATCAAAAGATATTTAGTATTGTCAAGTCAAAACTGAAATATTACTTTTAGAAATGTCTAAAAAGTCATTAAAAACAATTTCAAAAAGAAAAGTTTTCTTAACAAAGTAAGCAGAGTTTGAGGAGAATCCTTGTACTTTCTGTCCAAATGGCTGAGGAGAAGTATGAATTATGTTTGTCTTGCATTAGTAGTTTAAATAAACCTCCCACACATCTTGGACATATGCTCGCTAAAAATCAGCTGGAAATCGACCAAACTCTGTTGGCAAACTCGCGAGATATCTAAACCTACAGAGAGCCTCACTGAACAAATAGCGGCAAGAGATGACTGGCATTATTGCGATGAAGTTCAATCAAGTTGCATTAAATAATAAATAGCGAATGTGTTGTCCTGCAAAATGGCATCGAGCCCAGACCTCCTCATGTCTAATTTTAAACAGCATTTTTAATATGATTTTGGCTCACTATAAAGAGACTAAGTCGAGAGTTTTTGGTGAGTTTATAAATCTTGTTTGCTGTTAAATGTAATGAGGCAAAAAAGGACTTAATGAACTTAATTTATACTTAATCTAAGTATAGACACAATGAGACTATTTTTAAAGTATTATATATATATATACATATATTTTGTTTGTTTGTTTGAAGAGAGTACTATAAAAATCAATATGTATATCGAGAGTTCCCGTAGACAACATATGTGTGTGTGTGTGTGTGTGTGTGTGTGTGAGAGAGAGAGAGAGAGAGAGAGAGAGAGAGAGAGAGAGAGAGAGAGAGAGAGAGAGAGAGAGACACACAGTAAATGAAGAACTCATTTGCCTATTATTACATGGCTCTGTGGAATACTTAATTCTGATTGGTCAATCACACGATCCAGCGGTATATTATCCCCGGTAACAATCGCTAAAAATGGATAACACAGGGTCACCCGAAATGAAAAAAAAAAAAAACCCCACTATTTTTAAATAATTAAAAACCGCATTGTCAAAAGTTGAAGTCTAATCCTCATTATATAATTAAAGGGATACTTCACCTCTGGAAAGATGAATGTGTATTTAAAATGGGTCATTTATGTAGAAGAAATGTGAAATTACTTTTTTAATTTTGAGCTTTCTAGAATGAGAAAAGCCAGGAAATGTATTTTTGGCTTATGTGGATGAAAGACAACAACTCCCAGAATGCACTTGCTTCGCTGCACTAGGAGGCCACGCCTACCGGTAACAGAGCGCAGTAGTTAAACAACAAGTCTAGGCTACTAGTGAGTCTCCGTGATGAGTCTGCCCGAAAATGTGTTTCGAGATCGCCCAAAATCTCCAGGATTCGGCTTTTGCGTTCTACAGTCGGCATTCATGATGTTTACTGTGGCGAGCAGGACGAGTGAGGGCCGCGGGAGAACGGCGCGAGGCCGGTGGCGTGATTACTGATGAGCGACACCTGTGAGACGCACCGCTCTCGTATCTCTCACGGAGGAGCGGGGATTTTCTTAGCAATGTTAAAACACACATCAACCGATCACTTGTTTAGCGTTCATGTAAACACTACATTCAGAATCACCAATCGGAATGAATTCAGTTAGATTGAAACAAAAGGTGTGCATGTAAACAATGAATGGCGACTGCAGAAAGCAAAAGCTGAATCGCGGACATCGACGGACGGACATGTCCGGGAAAAAAAGGATGGTAACCCCTACTACTCAGCTTTCTCCACAGAACAAGAGCCTGCTAGCTTAGCTTCCAAAAAAAGATGGCTGACACTATGTGTACATTCTGTGAGTGAGATCCACCCTCTATGGGCGCGTTGAGAACATGCTGGACAGCCCCTACTACTGGCTGTAGTCTTTAGCCTCGGGCCAAAAAATCCTCCGATGACGCAAAATGACAATTTTTGCGTCATCTGAGGATTTTTTCCAGACAAAAAATACATAAATCTCTCGTCTCAGGGGGATATGATGTATTAGTTTTCTACTAATACAAAGCTTGATGCTAAATCCTGAAGTATCCCTTTGAGTCACTTCTGTTCTGTCACTTGACAGATGTGATGCAGGAAAGCTTTGTCATTAATGTTATAATTGTCATAAATGTGCAGGTTTTTAATCTATGCAGTGCCGCTTTTGAAAGTTTTCTTCACCACATCAAGACATCCTGCTATGAAGATGACTTCTTGAATGCATTCAGTGTGTTTCCTTATTTAAAATAAGGTATTTTCACCAAATATCCTGTGGTGGAATTGATTTGTTAATAAAGTGATGTGATAAAATGTCAAATGTCAATGACAGTGAGAAATAATCATTTGCTACTACAGCGTAAATAAATTCAATTGGACCAACGACACGGTTTGATAAACTTAATTTCTTCATTGGCTCAACATATTATTTCTGATTGAGCCCATGTTAACAGACTATTGCCACAATTGCTAAAATGCAATTCACAGAAATTAAATTAGGCCAATTGAAAAAAATTAGATGTGACCAGTCACTAGAACATTTTGAGTTGGAGAGGTCTGAAATTTTAACAGTGTAATAAAAACGACTAAATATTTTTGGTTGTCGCCCCCAACAGCGACAAAATGTAACCTTATTGTAAAGTGTTAATACTATTTTGATATTAAAAGTATCCAATTTTCTTCCTACAACAACCCTTACAATAAGAAAATCCTCAATCACCTCTGCCTGGGATGTTAGTCTTCTTGAGAATCTGCTCCATTCGTATAGCCATGTCAGACACGTTCTGGGCGATGGCCTGGATTCGCTCCACCAGACCTACCGGCTGGAATCTGGGAAAGTGAACAGAAGAGAGAGAGAGAAATGATGCCCAGCCATTAAAGAAACAGTTCACCCAAAATGACACTTCTGGACTTCTTTGATAATCCCTTATGGTGTTTTTTTAAATCACAATACACTTTGTTGTATGCAATGACCAGAAAACATCTCATTTAAACTTCCACAGAATAAAATAATAAGACTTTAGAACGACATGAGGGTGAGAAAAGATTACTTTAAATATGCATTATGGAAAGGAGGCGCATCTTAAAGTGTCTGTGACTAATAAATATGAGAAATGAGAAGACACAAGGTCTAAAGATGTATTGCCTTGACTGAAGCAGACGTGTCTTTATTTATTGTGGAACTGAATTGCAACATCCTTGAATGGTGCGATTACCCATTGGACATGCTAATTGCTTGAAATATGCTTGGAGCATGAAATAGCGATGCTTCTGCACTGACACCATTTACATAGATAGATAATGAAAATGACATGCGGCATGTTTAGGCCTGGCCCTGAGAGAAAAACACGTTACAGCAATTAAGCCAGTAACTTAATTCCCTTTGTTGTTGAAGCCTAGAAACGATCCGAGAGGTTAAAACAACTGGGTTCAAATGAAAGGGAAACATTGCATCATTTAATTGTTCCAGGGGTGGATTTTTAGATTTCACCACTTTTTGTTAAATAAAGATAGCATTGAAACAGCCTTGGAAAGTTTTGAGTATGCGTTCATTATTTTCAAATGTCTTTTATGTAATTATGTATTGATAATTAAAAATGGTAAAAAAAAAATAACGATAATTGGAAAAAAAGAATAAAATAATCATAAAACATTTCAGTAACACTTTACAGTAAAGTTTCTTTGGTAACATTAGTTAATGAATACTGTAAAAACAAATGTATTGCTCATTGTTAGTTATGCATTAACAAATGTTAACTAATGGGACCTTACTGTGGACCTTAAATGCATATAGTTCACCCAAAAATAAAAATTCTGTCATATTTCACAATATCTTCTTTTGTGTCCAGCAGAAGAAATAAATGCATACAGGTTTGGAGCGACTTGAGGGTAAGTAGGCCTATATGATGACAGAATTTTCATTTTTGCGTGGACTATCCCTTTAAGTGTTACCAACATTTCAACAGTAATGGTGTGTTCACACCGAACGCGAATAGAGCGTCAAATACACGTCTATCGCAACTAGTTAGACGCTTGAACATTCGCTCGAGTTCAAATTTTTCAACTTGCGCGGAAGACATTCGCGGCAAACGCGTCGCCCAATTCGCGTCATTCGCAACGCCCGGCGCGAATGATGCGTCTATTCGCGTCTTTGCATTGACTTTGTATTGTAATCTTCTTGCGCAAATAATTAAATTCGCGTTCGGTGTGATTGAACACACCATAACAATTGTTATTTTCATATTTTATGTTATTGATGGGATACACAGTTGAAAGGTCACCTATTTCTGAATTCTCTTGAGTTACAAGCTCAGATTTTTAACCATTATGCTTCCACCGCCCCATAATGCTCAAAGACATGGCTGAAATGAGCCTTAAAAATGGAGTATCAAATAACAAAATAATAGATTTGCATTTTTGACCAAATAAAATATCCAAATAGTGGCCCTGAATATTTGCCCTGAAAAAATGGTTATAATAAAACGATCAAAAGTGTTGTATGTATGGTGAAATATGCTAATTGAGTAAATTGTTAGATTGTGCCGATATCCTGCCGACAACCGCAAAATGATAGATCAGATGGATCTCCATGTCAGAAATATCAGATATATTAGACATGTCCCAAATCACTGCCAGATATTAGTCTTCTATCTGCCTAAGAATTTGACTGAGAAAGCCAGGGAAGAGCAGAAGCAGGAGACGAAGTGATGATAGTAAAAAGAGCTGAGTTTATTAAATAATCTTAGTTGCGTGTTTCAATGCTCACACTTTGTCTGAAAGTCTTGATGCTTTGACTTCGTCTGACCAGTAATCCAACAAGTGTTATTATACACTGCCCAGCCAAAAAAAAAAAAAAGCTTTTTATTTTTTATTTGGATAGGCAAAATCTTAAGAGTCTATGATTAGGTCATGACAAGATCTTGAGCAAAAATGTATGCACCTCTTGATGGAAATAAATGTTGTGATGTTAATTCCATCAAGAGGTGCATACATTTTTGCTCAAGATCTTGTATTGCCAATGCAAGAATCCAGCACTCTGTCTGTAATGTCTCCTCGAGCACATCCCAAAGACGTTCATGTGGTCTGGAGGTGCCAATTCATGTGTGGAAATGATTCTTCATAGTCATAGCCTATTCCTATTCAAATCCATGCCTATTCAAATCCAAACAACGACTTTTCTTTATCTTTTGGCCAGGCAAAATACCAAAAAATCAAAAACAAAATCCTAAAACTGTTTATTTAGTCAGGTTGTCAATGTAGTCTCTGTACCCACTGTAGTTCTCCTCAAGCTTTGTGACATTCTAGTTATTTTTGACTATATATATATATATTTTTTTATCTCGTATCTGAGACTATTTCAATAAAACCTCAATAGGTTTTATTTCAGGTCTCTCAAGAGACTTGAAGAAACTCTTTCAGAGAGAGAGGAAAATGTCTTTCAGCAAGCTCGGGGAGTGCATTGTCATCTTTGTTTCACACCAAGTGTTTGATTTCTTCATAATACAGCTTGCATGAACCGCCTCCAACCTCGTGCCCTGCAGCTACAGTACATCAGCAACACGCCGAAGCAAACAGCCCCCCTTCTGTGAGCAACTGTCAGTCGCAATAAATGTCACCTCTGCACAGCACAGGGCTGAACGCTCACAAAACCACGCCATCTGAACCCTGACCTTTCTGACTTCACACCCAAAGACAATAAAGCGTTTAGGCGGAGCTGTCACATGCATGTCTGACTTCTGCATCCTCTGCACTTCTGAGATTTTTTTTTTTTTAGATCCTGTCAGAGCTTTTTACCTTCTGAAGTCAGAACCAATCAAGCCACACCAATCAAAGCAGTTTTTATAAAAGAACGCCAGTGTTGATTTTTCAGTCACATTTCGAAAACCACAAGGTAAAGGCTCTAAGGCTTTGCTTATGCTGCACTCAATTCAATCTGTACTGTATTTGCAATCAATTTTAGGGCTGACTTTCACATTTTGCAAGTGATGACTTTAAATCCGTTTGTTCAGTCAGTGTAGTCGATATACGTTATTTCTACATCGGTTGTTGCAATAATTACTTCAGCTACAGCAAGGTGCCCAAAGATTTTTTTCTACAGCAACAAAGAGTACAGTAGCATGGAAAGTGGTGATCTCATCAGATAATATAAGGGTCTCATCTCCCATTCCCTTTAAAAGCCAGTTGCGCTCCCGCCATGGCCGGTTACTATTGTAACCCTCGTTCCCTGAAGGAGGGAACGGGAGACATAACGTCGACATGACGACGTAATTGGGATCACTTCAGGGAGTCCTATCAACTTCGAGTATCTACAGAACCAGCCAATGAATGTTGGCGTGCATGAAACGCGTCACACGCACGCACGCACACATTGTTTTTCGCTGAGGAGCCGAGATCGTGACGGCCATCCAGCGATGGTCAGCAACCGTGGCGACGGGAACAAGGGTTACAATAGTAACCGAGACATTCTCTTTCAGTTGCTCACGTTCGACGTGACGTCAAGGCGTAAGCTGTAAGCCGAGTCTGACAGTACGGATGAGCCAGCGAGACGGGCTGGGAAGCTCTAGCCAGGCTCCCAGACACCGTGCAAGCGGGACCAGCGGCACCACAAACGTACCCGGGGTGGGGCAGCGCGGCGGAATGCAGGGACCCGCCTCGGACGGCATAGCGGCCCGGAGTGGGGTCTAAGTGTGTGGTGCAACACGTACCTGCTTCCGCCGAAGGGCAGAGTGAGTGTGCGGAGGCGTCAGTGTGTCCGGGACACAGCCACTGCTGCTCGCTGGCGATGAAAGAGGGGCTTGAGGGTGACAAGGCATAGCGTCATTGACTGTCAAGCGTGCCCTCTTGGGCCCCAGAGGTTTCAGAAATTGCTCTTTTATTGAAAATGTGGGTACCTCCGGCGGAACACAAAGAAAAGGAAACAAAAGATTCTCCGCCCGGCCCTCCACCCATCTCAGGGTCGTTTGCACCTCCGCTTGCCTCCTGGTTTGGCAGCGGCCTGGACGGGCGTGGTCGACTTCTTGCGGCTTGCTCCACGCTGAGACCACATGTGCGCCACATTACTAACGTGCTCTTTAAATAACAAAAAAAATATTGCGCCATTGACTTTATAGGTTGTTGTGTCTATGCGCCTGAACACACCCCATTTTCAAACCAGTAGGCATTGGCGCCCAGATGGGCGCAAATGCATTTGCGATTTAAACAAAGGGACAGGGCGTGAAAATGATAACTGCGTCGGGCTGAAACTAACAAAAAACACTTGCCGGGTGTATGAATAGGGCCACATGTGTTCAAGAGAACAAAATCATCACTCCCTGAGAAATTGAACAAAAATCTATAATCTTCCCCGATTACAGATTTTTGGTAAACAGTGGAGCCACTGTGGCTCTTTATTCCTTTGTCATAAATGAGTTGCGTCTCAGAGCGGCAGATGAAAAGCAATAAACGCTGTCATGTTATCTTGTGTTCGGATGCTGGTGTTTGGAAACACAAACGTGTGAGACGCTTCTGGACGGAATTAAACCAAATCCTTCTGATGGCAGACTTTGGCTCAGGCATTTTAGAATGACCAAACCAACATTTGAGAAGCTGTGATGCGATTGGTCCTCTGGTTAGTTCAGATATCCAATCACCTCCTCTGTTGAGGCAAAGTCATGAGGTTTTTTTTTTGTTGCACATCAAAGGATTGATTCTGTAAATGTGTTTCCATCGTATTTAATGTTTGTTGAACTTAATAGTAAAAATCTATTAATCCGTACTGTTCACATACTATGCCTTTGTTACTCAGAACACCCAAGTTAAAGGGCTAGTTAACCCAGAAATGAAAATTAGCC